ACTCATCTCACCTTTTTCTACCATTGTGTCTATCTCTTTTACATCTTTGAAACGCTCTTCTATTCCTACCCCCTTCTCGACCTTTTCACTTTGATGTTCCTTCCCCTCTGTGAAGCCTGAAGTCAACTAAGGGCCTAATGATAACTATCAAAACGCCTGCCATTTGATATAAATAAATATAACATTAATAATGAACTCTTAGGAATGAAAATGTCAACTCCTCGACCTCAGCTAGTAAAAATTGGAAATGAGAACAAGTCACAATTAAATAATTTTAGTAGAGGAGAGCAGAAACCAGTAAGCGAAAATATTAAAAGGAAAAAAAACAAATGAAATCGATACAAATGAGTCACAAGTGACAATCTGAAGATGATAAATAACAAGTGCATGAAAATTTATTGACGAAATACGATAACAGATAACATAATCATAAAATGAAACTGCTATAAGTCCTGTGTGAACCTGATGGAATTTAGCTTCGATCTCTTCTTCCATTCGCGAAAGTGTTGATTGACATTTATGACTACATATTGTGCTCCAATTAGGGTCAAATGACTCAACGAAACGCATTTGAGAGCAAGATTTGATACAAGCAGAAAAGACAAGATATGGGACTACAATTATTCCTAAAACTCCACAAATACGATTATTGTGGGTTTATTATTTTCAATAATCGAAATAAATTCATATTACTTGGGACTCAACGACATTAAATGGCTAAAATATTTGTCAAACACCGTATTAGAGTGAACCTGACAAGGGCTACCCTTATAGTAATCTAGCATTATAGAGAGCGACATCTTAAAAGCATCAATCACGCTCACAAGGAGTGTGAGTGGCTTTCTTTGATGTATCAGTAACAATGTGAGGGTGAGTGTATTCTTCGCTATCGAGATTAAATATAGCTAAATGACTCATTGGGATAATCCAATCAATTGCTCGTGAGAAGTTTAAATGATTCTCTCAATACTATTGGACTTACGCGTATAAATTAGAGCTTTCCAATAGGTTTAGATGGTAGTGGATTATGAGGGCCCGAGAAGCCTATATTTTATTAAATGCGCTAAATATCCCGCCTTGAAGGTTCAGAATTAAATTAAAATAAACGATGTTATGAGTACGGAGTAAGAGGAGGTCGTAACAACAGACCAAGATGAAAAAAATCGATAATCGATATCCCGACGCAACAGCCTAGAGATCAAAGTTTCTTCTGCAAGTATTGGAATTTTAACTGGATAAATTGTGGTAGGTGCAAATGAATGCAAATCTCGCGATCGTGTATAAAATAACGTCCAAAATTTTGCTAATTCACTTCCTTTACTCCAATTAATCGTTCCAGTAAAGATTTTGTCGAATACTATGTACCTCCTGACTAAATCCTATTTTGACCCAAATGAAAGACATCTGATTCGAATGGTAACTCGTTGAGTTTGCAGACATATCACTAACGATAGCTTTTAGAGGCAAAAGAATAAACTTGCAAGACAAAAATTGTAAAATATTAATTAAGAAAAAAACTCTTGAAACCTACTTAACTGTTTACATTTTCTAAAAAAAGCATTGAAAAATGATATGATCAAAGAGTAGTGACGGATTTTCGGATAAAAATCTACGAATCTATTGGTCATGTGAAAATAAATGCGCACAAATCCGATATAATCAATCGCAGCAATTTTTACTAAATTATTTATTTATTTAACTAAATTCATGACAAATTTGTCGTTTATTTCCTGTCGAAAAATAACAATAAAGACACAGAGAGACAAAGTTTATGGTGAACATTAAAAAAATCTCTCGATTAGACAAACAAAATGCGATTTAAATTGAAATTTCAAATAATATTAAATTAAAGAGATTTTAAGAGGGTATTACCTCTCTTAGTGATCTCGAATCCGGGAATTGGAGGAAGACCAGACCAATCTAAAAGTATTTTGCAAAAAAATAAAAAAGAAATACGTCATGATGGATTTAAAAACCAAAAATTTTCCTAATATACGTGAGCTGAAGCAATCTCAATTTGAGTGCACGCACATTTTAATAAACGTCATTAACACTCTGTTGGTAATGAAAAAGAAAGGCGTTTAAAGATAATTATATATAAATATAGCGAATTTAAGTAAAAGATGTGAAATTTCATTATTTATAACCACATCAAACAAACGTGATCTCAACTGCTTGAATTCGAGCATGATCAGCGAAAGGTGATGTTGACACATTACTGAGAGGATGAAAGTGATGCTTTCACACAGACAGGGTGATCATTATTTTTAGCCAAGCAAAAAACGAATTTAAACGAGGTATTGACAAGGGCCTATTCCCATGGAAGCACAAAACGGAAAGTCGTCAAATTGAATTCTCCTCCATTTTCTTCAAAATTGTAATCTAAAAGCTCTTTTCAGGAGAGATTTCCAAAGAAGAATGGTCAATCCCCCTTTCAATTCCTGATCAATAATCCCTAGGTGCAATATAATCAAGAATCTGAAAACGCTACATACTTTTTCCACGACATGGACTTCTTATACTGAAAGCTGCAAAATTCTGTGTCGGAATTCACAAAACTCATTCCAAAATAAAGAGGACAAGGTATTCAAATAGTGTTGTTTAAAGTATATTCATATAAATAAGTAAGTAGGTTCTTACTACCGATTCGAGAAGCAAATTAAGCGAAGTGGAAACTTACATTCTTCAGGTACTGAGGGATCTGTGGGGCCATCCATTTGTTCCGTTGTGTCAGTGACTGAAGACGAAAATACGTAGAATTGCATTTTTCACCTTTTAAAGTGCTTCGCACTTTTAATTAGTAAACATTTTCATGCAAGCAAAGTGTGACATACCAAGGTCTATTAGATTTAAACATTCATTAATTAAATAAACATTATATGTATCTCTTATTCATTAGTTCAGAGGCAAAGAAAACTTGGGATAAATATTATTTCTTCTAAGACAACAATGATAAAATTAGAAATGATGATACGGCCGAATTCATGGAATGCAACTTACTATCAGTCGACTCGGTGGTGGGGAATGTAAAGACTGGAACCTCCTCATAGACAGGAATAATTGGCTCTGAAATTAAAAATGGCTGAAAGCTATAATATTTGAGGATATAGACAAGGGATAACGCAGATATAGTTTATCTGACCAGAATTACAAATAGATAGTCACATTACGGATAAAAATGATGTTGTAGGTGTTTATACTAATTGTTTGTTATGGCTGATAATAAGTTATTTGTACTACTTTTGGCTTCATTGCTAATAATGGATTGCTTTTAGCTAATACAAAACCTCTATAACTTGGAGATAGGAGTTTGGCCTCTCTGTCAAGATATTTCTGGTTGATTAAGTTCGAAAGAAATTAAAGTACAAAGTTACATTCTTACTTAACCACTCTATATATTCAAACGTAGGGCGTGCAATAGACTTACCTCCACGTGGTGCACCCTGGGCAACGTATACTCATACGGCAAAAGTCTATTAACCGGCATTTGACTTCTGACTTCAAACTACCACGACCCCCCTGGTTGTCATATTCGACTCCTTTCACAGTACTCACCTCACCTTTTTTCTGCCTTTGTGGCTGTCTGTCTCTTTTACATCTGTGAATCGCTCTTCTGTTCCCACCCCTCGACTTTCTGCTACTTTGATGTTCCTTCCCTCTGTGAAGCCCGAAGTCAGCTAAATGGCTAATGATATCTACCAAAACGCCTGCCATTTGAAATAAATAAATAAATAGATGTTGATCACGCTTTCCACCCTCCGACTGTCATGCTATATGATAAGCGCGACATTTATGTGACCGTTGTCAACCCCTGTATCAGGCTACGTACGACAAAGCCCCATTCCAAGGTTTGCGAGAGTACCAGCTTCCGTCGAATACCCGACACCAAGAATTAAAGCAGCAAAGGAATATGCCTCCTTTAAATATACACAAAAATAGGACCTCGTTTTTAGAGGTCTAATTGTTAAGACACGGATAGATAGCTCAACAATAAGGCCATACTCTCTGTCCTAAATTTAAGACAGCAAGTGACCTTTATAAGAGAAATTACGCATATATATATATATTTTTTAAAATTCGACTGAAGTGATTAAACTCTATAAAAATGCATACATTATGACCAGCAGGAACAATGAATAATCAATAGAAAGTAATGATCGAGTGGTAGCAAGCTTATGGAATCATGATTTAATATCAGCATGATGAATTCAATTTATAATTGGCTATAACTCAATAAGCAGTCTAATTAAATCAAAATTGTACGCACTAGACAGCTGAGGCTGGAGCCAAAATATCATGCCATGAGAGTCAAGTACTCGTTGCCAAATGGAAGAGTTGGCAAAATCGGCCGTTAGAAGTGGTTCGAACTTCTGTTTCACACTATAAAAGGAAGCACCAACAATTAGGCCTTTAATTAGCCTTAATGAAGGCATTACCGAAAGGGATGAAGCCACTTACTCTGGTGGATAAATGAAACCCAATCCGGATGTGAAGAAAACTGAACGAGCCATGACGTAATTGGACATCCTAGTTGACTTCCAATCCCGTAGAACGTTCAAACCAACCAGGAGGTCGGACATAAAGTGGCCATCGTAGAATGTGTTTCCTTTAGAGACAAAGAGCACTAAGTTAATTTTCCAATCATTTTAAAAACAGAAATTAAAACCACAGAAAGAAATGATGGCATTCATTAAAGGACAACCTGAAAAAATTAATGGAGTCTTAATGATAGCTGAGATTAGTGAAAGCTAGAGTACCGTTGGAAGAAGTACTCGCATCATCTTGAATGAAGACATTTTTGGTTCATTAATTACTTAGATTGGATCATGATAAACTATTAACCAGTTTAGCATTTTAAAATAGAGAAAAAATGATAAATCTTTCGATATGTCAACTCATATCTCCTAGGACAAAGATAAAAAAGTATAGGCTACGATCCAAATTCACTGAAAATGGGGTCTTAAATAATGATCCGCAATTAAACACCAAATACTTTCAAACGACACATTAATTGAGAACTGTCAACAAGTTCCTGAAATTCTCAAGCGGCAATTAATTATTGGTGAAGTAGAATAGGTGTCTATCAGGTCACGTGATTATTGATGCATTGGTAAACATTCAGTAATGTGGTTGGCCAGANCATGAGGAAATGGAGAAGACCCACTTGATTCGGTGTCCAGCCCTTAAGACAACGACGGAAAGCCAGAGATACTGGGAAGCAAGAAGACGGCTAATTAACTGCTATATATATACCCCCCCCCCCTCCCTTGGGGGAAGCTGAAGTCAAAGTTTAATGGCTAGTGATAAATATCATAAAGCCTGCCATTTGAAATAATACCCTTAGCAGACTTAGCCATTTTAAAAAATCGTCATCCTTATTATCGTTGCTAGAGTTTCAATATTAGAGACGGAGGAAATTAATATTAATTTAATAGGCTTTGAAAAGGGTGAAATTTTTATTTCTCTTCTCCATGTTGAGTTTACCTCAGCTATTAACACTGTTAGTAATTGGTTAGAAGATATTGAAGCGACACAGCCTTAATTAGGGTTATTTAAACTTCATAGAGAGAGAAGGCCAGTAATAGTGAGAAAGTACCGGTGTCAGGTCCTGCAACACAACTCACATCAAACTGTTCTCAGCTCACATAAATCGCAATCACAAGCCATCATACGCCACCTCCACCACCACCACCACCACCACCGCCGCCGCCGCCGTTGCCGTTGGCGTTGCCGATAAACTTCAAACAGACTTTGTGAACACACAAATGAGCGCGCGTGCGCCCGTGCGTGCGTGCGTGCGTGCACAAGTGATTAAGTGATGAGGAGGGAGAGAAGGAACGCTTATTTCCGAGTCACGCCTCTAATCAGAAGCAGCATGATGGATTTAAGTTCTTTGATTTTTGCGCCTCCTTTGTGAGATGCAAGTTTTAGTATCTTATTAAGCACGACTCTAAACTTTGAAACAACTCCGCTGAGATTGATAAGCTCATTACTTTTGACGCACACACTCTTAATGCGATCTTCTAATTTAATACGCAACAAAGCGTGATTTTAAATAATGAAATAGCTGGGCAAAGTACATCAGGAGGTTGGAGTAATCTCTCCACCCAGTAAAATTTAAAGATTTCAACTAAAAATTGTGTCTATCTAAGTGAACTGGTTTTTTCTCCAGTAACGTTATGGGCATTAGTAACAAAATTCTTATGAAAGTATCAAGCCCATTGAAGGGTACTCTTTACTAACCCCCATATGGGACACCGATATGGCACCCCGGAAGTTAAAATGACAGCCTTCCAAGGCCTTGTTAGAAGGAAAGATTCACTGGGTCTGCAGCGCTAAGTTTCCTGGTAGAAATCACAAAGTCATTGGGTCAAATATAAATTCCTGATAATACTTTGTGCTTCCAGTTATTATGCACTTTCTGTCTTCCCAATGTGTCTGTTTCCTAAATGGCTTGTCAAGCCCTGGTGATGAAAACTCTAGCTTTGCTATAATTCTCGTCTTGCGATTGGATAAAGTAAATTTGAGACCTGATGTCTTGAGAAACTTTGACCTTCATCTGTTAGTAATCGTACCTATAACATAATATCCCCTGATGTAAATCAATCGAAGCGTGCTTTTTTGTTAAAACTCAGGGTCTTTTACAAATTTTTCATGAAGAATAGGTAAAAAAGCGTTCTAAACAGTCTTTCTTCTAAGAAATAAGTTACTTAAATTGAAATAAACCGTCTTAAAACTCATGAAAAACTGACCGAAAACTTTTTGTTAAAGGTTTCGCAATCTGATTTGAAACAGGGATTAATTATCTCCTTGCCGTTGACCTCTCAAATAAAGTTGTTTTTTGAATTCTCCGGCTGATGAGACGTTAAACGAGCCCATGATGTCGCTATTGAAAGTGGATTTCTGTTTTCCTTTTCAGAAATGGTTCGAATTTCATTTGAGGCATCCTGGACTTCAGATTAAATCATGCTTCGGTTAGTTGTTCTAGGCGATATCCATATTTTCACTTGACATAAATTTTGAAATCTAAATTTTCACCCTTATAAACAACATTGGATTGCAAGGCTATTGAAATGAGTCAGTCAGTCAGTCAGTCAGGAACGTCGTTCCCATATCGACTGAGGATTGAAATGGGAATTACTTCAAAACCAATTCAAATTTTTTTCCCATATTGGTCAATTTTCCCGCGTATGATGTTCGTCGGCGACGTGGAGGCATCATACATGTTTACTGAATTAAGGGATAACAGTTCTAAACTAGGCGAACGTTGATTATTGTTGATCAAAGGATGCACAGAATTCACTATTTTTCCAAGGCGCTCATTTGAATTTAGGGTAAATTGGAAAATCAACATCGAAGGACTTAGATATGCTCAAATAACGGTTATTGGCGTGTTAAATCAAATGCATATTGTGAAAAGTTCTAAAATGTGATTAGCTGATCAAGACGGATACTTCACAATTCCACTTGTGGGGTGTGCGATAGACTTACCTCCACGTGGTGCACCCTGGCAACGTATACTCATACGGCAAAAAAGTCTATAAACCGGCAGCTGACTTCAAACTGCCATGGTCCCACTGTATGTCATATTCGACTTTTCACAGTACTCACCTCACCTTTTTTCTATCTTTTCTACCTTCGTCTTCGAAACACTCTTCTTTCCCCCCCCCTCTCGAATTTCTTTCACTTCGATGTTTCTTCCCCTCTGTGAAGCCTGAAGTCAACTAAAGGGCTAATGATAACTATCAAAACGCCTGCCATTTGGTATAAATGAATAAACAATTCCACTTGTTGTTGCAACCCCAATATTCGACTATGATAGAAAAATAATCTTTTGGTGAGAAACGCAACCCATACAGTTTCCTTATTGGCCGGAATTAGACAGCGCAAGTGCTCATTCACATTATTGGATGTGTGCTGATGGGCACTGATTTCCTGTTCTCTTACCTGACAGACTTGTAAAGTGGTCATATTGTGGATTTGCTCTTCTATCATCAGCAAATTTCAATAATTTTGTAAAATTGGACTAACATACACTTCAAGTGCTATCCAATCACCTTCAAGACAAAAGTAAAGATGACAAAAAATTTCTTTTAATTAAGGTGCTAACTGCCATCAAACGAGCCAATCTGATTCAAAGAATTTGTTCCACCGAAGCTTTGTAGAAGAATATCCAGATTTTGCCACCTTAATGGAGCTTTCTAAGTATACGCTGGCGGTCGTTACATTAGCAATATCTGCATGGCGCAATCTAATTGTTTTCGATTGATTGTTGGCTACATGAATTCATTCACACCTCCTCCCTTCCCAATTTGGTATCACTCAAAATGCTGGAGAAATTAGGAGTAAAATGAAGTGAAAAAGTTATTCACACTATTTACCGAAATCATATTCATCTATAAATCGGAGGACTTTTTCGATCTCCTTCATTCCCGCTGAATCCTTGGGGAAATCACCGCGTTTCCTTCGAATATTCTCATTTTGTTCGCTTCCATTTTTCCCCTCCACCACATCCACCTTCACCTCATCCTCATCCTCATCGGGCGCTTCAGTAGTCTCCCAAATTCTGAAAAGATCATTAAATATATCATGACTCGTAGTTGTCGACTGTGTAGTTGTTGGAGCCTTCGTGGTGGTGGTTGTAGTTGTTGTGGTCGTCGTTGTTGTGGTCGGCGTGGTCGCAGTCGTAGTCGTCGGCGGGGCTAGAATTCTTGAAAAACTCGGCTTTCGACAGTTGGCTAAGATTGGTGCTAACACTACTTTCACAGGCAGTGGCAGAGATGTCATTTCAGCTAAAAACAATCAGTATTGAAATTGAAGAATAGAGCTTGGAAACAAACGTAGTTTTGCCATTGGTACTTACCACCCCTGATGTAAACTGCACTGTCAGTGGTTTTCAAGAGCTCCTTTTGAGAGAGAAATTGAACATCAGTATCTCGCTCCGTGGCCGTTACGAGACAAATGCTAGAGAGATGGTGTAGTGAAAAGTAAAAATATATATTCATCGCATTCAAAATAAGAGCACACTGTTTGACAACTTTATCTCGAATTTACCTATATTCAGTATTTGGGATGGGTGTATAAGCGTATGTTCGGAGTGTACGATGCGCATGGTTCTAAGGGAAAACAAATATAGCAAGAAATGAAAGCAGCTTTGTTTAAATTATGACTTAATTAGAAGTTGAGATTTATTTCAATGCTGGAAGGTATATGAAATGGTTCAATAATGAGTTGGATAAATGATGAGGTAGATGGGACAGAAGAGAGTTGAAAGCGAATACAAGGCTTAGTTGTTGAACCAGAATTTCAATGTGAAACATATGATGACCAGTACTGTCACTACAAATAATTTTATTTTCCCAAAAATCAAAAGAGCAGAATGGCACTTGGCACAGGACTTCAATCATGGATACTCTGAGATGGCTAAAATCTCCTTCAACCTTATTTACCCATCACCGCTCTACCCGCAGTTAAATGACAGGAGAGTAATAGGACGTATAGTATTGAGACAGTAGTTTGGCGAACGATTTTTCAATGATTTAACCGTCGGTTCAGAAATAATTGAGGCTTTCTAGGATATACTACTTATTCCGCATTTAAGAACATCCACTGAAACGTCACAAATACTAGTGAGTGACACTTCTGAATCATTCTTCTTTCCTCAACTGCTAATATATATTTGCCACCATTATCTAACTTCCGTACAGTGAGCTGATGCTTGTTTAATGTCTACTTCCGGTTTCAACACGATACAAATCAATTGGGTTGTCATGGGAAACTACGAAACTCAACAAACTTCTAGCATTGGGAACAAAGCTTCACATTAAAGGGAGACGTATTTTCTTTAAGCTGTGACGGACATCGATAATACCTCATCGAAGGAATTCGTGGGATTCGTATTCCCAAGGCAACATACCTCATCCATGAATACGGCGAAGTCATCCAGAATGTTAACACCCTCCTTATTGTCAATCAAATTCTTTCGAATCTAAAGTGATGATGAACTCTTGGTTAAAATAAAACTGGATATCTACGTATTTATATATAATGGAAGAACTTACTGTCAAGAATTCTTTTTCACTGGACCCTTCAATATCCATAATATCGATATCAATGGTTTGAGCGGATAGTTTACGCTAAAATATGGGATAAAATTCCCCTGCTAATAAAAAAGAACTCAGCAAAAAAGGAATTTTCGTTGACAGATAAAATAGAACCACTTCACCGACAAGCCGATTAGGAACTCATTATAAGGGCACGCACACACTTCTAATTACTCTTAATCATCACATTATCACTTTCGAAAGCATTCAGCACATTTCAATTATTCCAATAAATTCCTTTTAAATAGTGAAAATTGGATCAATCAAGCAGCCTTTGACTGTATTTACTATCAAGGGTATGGGGTGTGCGATAGACTTTCCTCCACGTGGTGCACCCTAGGCAACGTATACTCATAGGGCAAAAAGGCTATCGACCGGCAGTTGACTTCTCACTTCAAACTACCATCACCCCACCGTGTGCCATATTCGACCACTTTCCCAGCACACACCCCACCGTGTGCCATATTCGACCACTTTCCCAGCACACACCTTACCCTTTCTCTGACCCTGTGTCTGTCTCTTTTACATCTGTGAATCACTCTTCTGTTCCCCCCCCCCTCTCGACATTTGTGATTTTCGTGTTCCTCCTCCTCCTCCCTGTGAAGCCCGAAGTCAACTAAAGGCCTAATGATAACCACCATGAAGCCTGCCATTGGAAGGAGGAAACTAGGTCACTATTTCTCAATGAGACACTGAGTGCTTGTTTCCACTCAAAAGACCATCAAAGTGAAATTACAAAGAGAATGTTGAATTCTACTCACATAAGACTTCAGAAGTGGATGAAATAGTACGAATCCATTGTTGTCTATCATGAATGCGTAATCTGTTGGACTATTCTAAAGAGGAAAGATATAAAAAAAGAAGTGCATAAAAGATTCACCGCTTTTTTTTAAGCATTCAAATCTAACTCACAAGGTATGGCTGAAGGAGATCAACCATTTCTCGGGCTGATACATCTGTTCCCATAATACCAAGTAGAGAGACTCTTCGCTATCCATTTTAAGAAAGATGTATTCAATAAAGCTCTCATTTCAAGAGAATTTAAGGTGAAATAGAAAGCAGTAAACTTACATCCAATGATCGGTTATACACAGCCATCGTTAAACTTGCCATAGGACCAATCTCCTGAACAAGGCAAGCCAAGGTTAAATATTGAAATAACAAAGTAACTGTGCATGCTGTGCGTCTAGTCACAAGGCATGCCATTCAAATAGATTTTGTTGAGGATGCGTCATGCTTGCAATTGCGTGCAAAGAAATATCCTTCATTGGCATACTTCAGCTATTTTGAAAGGAAATATGTCCGCTGCTTGATGAACGACCAATTCCAGACCCAGTAGATGACGCTTTCTCTTCGCCCCATAACCGGTAGCAGTTTCTGTGAAATGCTAGATTAATAACAGAATGAGCAATTCAGGGCGGTCAATAAAGAACATTAAACGAGGGGATGCCAAAAGTGCTTCAGCATTTTAGTGATTAATGAACTTTTACAAAGTTTTCTGGTCTTAGTGGCGACAATTGTTTGGCCAAAGTGAGATAACCGAGAGTTAGGCGGAAAACTTCATTGCTGAAAATGTGTGCTTGGATGTGCTTGAAGGGTACTCTTATGCACTTTGTCCTTACGTCGGGGAATTGAACCTCGCTAGGGGTGGAAGCATTAGTTGGTTTGTACGTTCAATCACTTTCTCCATATCCAAATCTCCAACAGTAGGTTCTTAAACTAATTCGGAATCCCAAAGGCCTTCAGTAGGTGCATTTTTTGACAATGAGGATATTTACTTACCCCTCTCTCCCGTGCCAATCTCAAATGTCATAATTTTCGTGCCCATTAAAGGAAATCATATTATCGAGGGGAAACAATTAACTCAAGCTGGAAACTTATTTTTATAGGTATCACTAATCGTTTTAAGAAGTGAACGAATTTTATATAGACCCAAAGGTCATGGAGATTACTCTTGTATTAATATTTAATTCCCCATCCCTCGACTTTCTGCTACTTTGATGAGCCCTCCCTCTGTGAAGCCCGAAGTCAGCTAAATGGCTAATGATAGATATCAAAACGCCTGTCATTCGAAATAAATAAATATTTAGCGAACTCCGATGAGCTCTGACTATTGTTTCGTCAATCTACTGATCAATCAGCTCCGGACGCAGTGGGATCATTTTCCTGAAGGATTCGAACTTCGATACATTAAATAGGGGTGCTATGGCCTTTGTCAATTAAGAATAAAGCAGAAAGTGAGATGAAATTGAAATTCACATGAAGTAAGACGTCTCTTACCAACAACTCTTTCTCCTCTCGTTCCCCCTGGCTTGAAATTGATTAAAATTGGCAATTGTTGCCTAGCTATAAGCTACCAAAATAAGTATTCAAATGGTGCAATCTGAAAAGTTGAGGGTCACACAAATGAGTGTGCGACAATTTGGATTGGCTAATTATGGAAAACGAGAGAGGTAGTAGAATATGATTGTCTTATAAGAACATCGGCAGGATGCCTTCTAACCTTCAAGATGAAATGCTGTAAACACCTTCCCATATAGGCGTGAGCAGTTAACTAATGAGCAGAATTCACCTTAACTGAACTCAAGTGAGCTTTGTCACATTGCGAAGGCATTTTTCTAGCCTCATATCTGTAAGAAAACACAAATGACCATAGCTGCATGAGGAACCATATCAATAAATGAAGCAGAGAGTAAGTTCTGAGTAATCTCAACCACCAACAGACTCAAAAGATCTATTAAATACTACGATATAAGGCATACGCCTTTGTGTGGGAAATTTGACATAAATACTGCTGATCAATATATTCCGATTCCCCATCCGTTCATTTTCTTTCTAGTCTATTTCACTTTGTCAAGTGCTCGGGGCGTTCCGTGATTGAAAAGGGCAAAAGTGCTTTCTTAATCTGACGTAAAAAGTAATAATAATAATAATGATAATTGCAACAATACCGAAACTCACTCGTAAAATGGTTGACACAGCTCCGGTGACAGGTATTTGCGCAAATGCTCCTGGGGAAAGGAAGGTAGAAAAAGAGGAGACTCACTGGTAAAGAAATGGGCTATACGTGGATTCTCTCTCACTGCATATTTGTGGAGAAATTAGCATTGGATTAGAAATCAGAAACTACGGGTAGAAAATTTTTTCCACTGCGCAGTTAGCTCTGGTAATAAAACGACAGAGAACTCAATCAATTTCCAATTCTGAGGCCAAAACTTAGAGGGCAGTTGTAGTAGTAAGTAGTATGCGGAACAGCAACAGCAGTATTGGCGAAATAAATAATTTAAGGGATAAAAGATCACAAGTTGTTATTGCTCATAACAGTCAATCATCCCAAAGCGAACTGTCCATCAAATTAAATTTTACAATTTTATTGATATAATCCTTTGCGAAAATACAAAGCTTCAAACGTGCCCCCATAATTATATTGATTGTGTAATGCAAAAAATAAGTTTCATAAAAAGCTAACAACATGGATGCAAAAACGCAAAAAAGACATGCAGTTATAAATGATACAATGAGATAATGATTAAACCCCCCCCCCCCCCCAAAAGATCGAAATTTCCTCTTAGAATTGAGAAAAAAATTACGCTCATGTTTTATTAAGGCAGATAAAGCACTAAATTTCAAACGATTATAAAAAAGACTACGAATTCAAAAAAGCATAGAAATTTTGTCATTTAAATTCTTTTACCATTAATTCGGTCTGAAAATTTATCCAGTGGACCAGGCCCTGTGATTGTTGACAGAGAATATGTGATGAGATGTACCTAAATAGGAAAGGCTAATTAATGCGACCGAACATTACATGTAAAATAGTTTCTACTTATATAGAATTCAGTAAAACATACATAGTCTTTGTATCTAGTTAGCATATCCTGAGTTGTGCGGTTGCTGTAGTCTATATCTGAATCGCTTATCAATACCATAATCTTGTTGCAATGAGCAGTAGCAGGTCTATGCGTAGAAAACTTCATTTAAAAGGAAAAAAGTCGTTTATTATGCTGGCAATAGTGCAATGAAAGTTTTTTTCTAATCAAATTGAAACTAAATAAATATTTCCATTTTAGTTGAGAATCTTGAATTTTTTTTTCATTTAGGACAAATTAATAAAAGGTAGATAAGTTACTCACGGCACTCATTTGTTTCATTCCAAATTCAATTGCTGCATCATAATCTGCAGTATCATGGGCCGTTAAACGAAAAACATTCCGAATCACTTGCTAAAATTCCATATAAAAAATTATAATCTCTGCAGTGCGCACAATCAAACAATCTTATTCATTATCTTGCCTGTTTATTGAGACTAGTGGCTTGAACAAGAGAATTGTAGCAGGAGCCGTTGTAAAAGCACCCATAAATATATGATGGCTCCAGATTATCACGACTTGTTGGAAACTGGAGGTACATAAGAAAGCATTATTTTCAAAGCGGAACAAATTCTACTTTTTAATAAATAGTTTCGCGATCTAATGTCCTTCTATGCATCTCTGCCATTAAGAGGTCTAATTTCTGTCACTACTGTCTATTGTAATGATTAGGTATCTCATATGGATTTTTCTCTTGCCACTCCTTCCAATGAGTCGCCCACGTCTGCCATCTGTGGGAAGTAGCGAGTTTGTGTCAATCCAGTGAACAGAATGGGCATTACCACTTTTTAAGTTTGGGTGTGGAATTCGTGTCTCTCATCCAGGATGAGTTTAGGAAAAGATTTTGGAAATGGGTTTGGGGACTAGTATTTTCATTTTTTAGCAACGCTTGACTAAATGATGATGCCTAAGTCGCCTTAACACGATCGTTATGAGATCAAAACATCATCGAATTGATAACAGTCTCTGTCCAGAATAATTTGCGCATTTTGAAAAAGGTGATCTGCGTCTAAGAGGATAGCGCTGTGACTTCTGATACCGCAGGCATAACACTTTACCGCAAACCCTCATTCCTGAGAAGGCTAGTAGCGAATTTCAATTTTTAAATTTATGTCAAAGTATATATTTAGCTTTTTTATCAAACCCGCGGTAGATTTTAAGTGAATATTAGTGAAGTGGAATAGTTTTTACTTAGTGCTGTTAACCACCTTCTGAATAGGAGGCAAATTTTTGCCAAATTTAAACTGTAATAGCTAGTCAAGTACCCATCCTACTTAAATTCAAGGTCAAGGTTATTGAAACTATTTTTATTACCGGCAGTTAGCCAATTTAAACACTGTCTATGTTAAAAAATCGTTCCTCCTTATCAAGCACTGAATTTTGCTTGCAAGAGATGACTCAGTAATCCATTTGACCTACTGTTAATTGATTTCAGTTCCTTTCAGGGAAAATATGATCATAAAATTAGATCGTCCTTTTAAACTGAAAACTCCTTGTCAATTTATGGGATTGTAGAAGGTGGCAAAGGTGATATCGTATTCGGATCATTAGACAAAGTTGGATCTTATCCCATAGACACAGAAAGCTATACGGTCATTTATACAGGTTTAAGTGAGCTTACGAATAATGGTTTAGGAATGCATTTTGCCATTCGGTATTCTAAAAGAATTTTTAAAGAGATTTACTCCCAATATTGCCGGCGTTGTTCAAGGGTATGGAATTATATAAAGCTAGGAGAATAGTGTTAATACCATTCAATTAACAAGTCAAAAGAATAAAAACCTTTTCCTTCTTCGAGAATTGAACTTAATTGAACTGTTTCATTAAAATGGAAAAGCAATGAAGGTTTTTGTAAGTTTTACGAATGTTGGATGTCATGACGATGGAGATCAGATCAAAGACTATCAAACTAGCACATTCGGAGTACTCATCTTCATGCCTGTCTGTTTTCTTTACATCTGTTGATCACTCTACTATTCCCCCTCTCGACTTTTGGCTTCACAGAGATGAGGAGGAACATCAAAGTCGGCTAATGGGCTAATGATTACTATCTTTATATGGTATTGCCCATTCATTATTTTATATACTAAAAGGTGAGAAAGCAGTGTGATCTAACATGATCCTGTTAAGGCAATTCTCCAATAGCAAACATTTATAGCTTAGCGGAGATTGACTGTGAAATCAATTTTACAATAAGTGTAGAATACTAACAACACAGTCATTTGCCTTTAAAATGCAAAAAATTACTTCGAAATTCCCTCACCTTAGCCACAGCAAAGAAGTCGTTTTTATTTAGCGTTTCAATTAGAAGTCGGAGTGAGGTGTTGGCCAAATTTAGAGCCTGACCATGCATGCTTCCACTCCTATAAGAGAGTTGGGAGGCCGAATTGAGATAAAACGATCGTCCAGATTAAATGAAGTCAACAACTTACGTATCGACCAGAAAAAGTACGTCCTTTGGAACGCCAGTATACTGTGTATACCTACAATTAACAAGCTCTTGTTCTTATCTCCATTCTACGCGTAGTATTTATTATGTCACCAGTTGTAAAATAAAATTAAAAGCATAAAATTAAATGTTCACTCATGATTTGATTAAAGATTTCTCAAATTATTGGAAGCTGTGTGTGCGCACACAAACCGTTCAGTTTTATTGCTACCAATCTTTCCGATTTTTGTCTTTTGATGTTTCTTCTCTTTAATTCACTTTGATGTATTCTGGGGTGTGCGATAGACTTACCTCCACGTGGTGCACCCTGGGCAACGTATACTCATACAGCTAAAAAGTCTATTAACTGGCAGTAGACCTCTGACTTCAAACTAGCATAACCTGACTACATGTCATATTCGATCATTTCCACAGTTCTCACCTCACCTTTTCTCTACCTTTGTGTCTGTCTCTTTTACATCTTTGGAACACTCTTCTGTTTCTCCCCTCCCCTCTCTCGACTTTTTTCACTTTGATGTTCCTCCTCCCCTCTGAGAATTCTGAAGTCAACCAAAGGGCTAATGATAACTATCATAAAGCCAGCCATTTGATATAAATAAATAAATAAACTTTGATGCATTCCACGTTACTGACGGTTATTTGGAGTGTAATGAATTTGGAAAAAAAAACAATTAAAAAATAGTTGTGCGCAAATTTCGAAAAGATATAAAAGCATCTCTGAGTTCAACTTCAATGCGTTTCGACATTTCAATGTCGCATGTTGGTTAGTAGGCAATTGAATGACCAGAAATTCTATTAATTACTTGTCTATAAACTCTGTAGTTCTGAGGAGTGGGTATTTAACTTTATATTTATTTTCTTTTAGGCTTTTCAAGGCTTTCATGTAATTTTAAATTTAACATAAAAGGTGATCCCTATTTTAGAGCAACGAATATTTTCGTATGTTACTCATCTGAATTTTGTACAGTTAGGAAGATTCTCGTTCGTTTATTTAAAATTTCAAATTTTCCCTTTCTATCTGAAATATTCTTTCTCCAAATTTTAAAAAAAGTTTAATTAATAGTATTCTTTACTCTATACCTTGCTGTTACATCATTTTACCCTGTGGCACACGTCATCACACGCGTGAACGTCATTATTTGGAATGTGCGGCCGTACATGTAGAACACGATTCACAGATATTCAGCTATTAATGTTCACTTAAATCATGCTTGATTTATTTGATAATTACTCGCTTTAGCCGATATCATATTTTGCAATAAACCTGGTCTACGTAATACGTCTCTCTTTCCTTGCTACCTACGCAGTAGCTTAGTTAGTTGAGATATAGGAGATACTGCCATAGAGAGATTTCTGAGCCAGTCAAGACTTAACCAGTGAAGCAATTAACGTGACGTGATCGCCAAAGCTTGACTTCAAACGCTCAGCAGAGAAGCAATCTCTCACTGGCATTACGATTTTTCCTTTTATCGCACACCGCTCTCGGTGGTCCTACTCGAACGATCAGCGTATCGACGAACCGACTCTCCTTCCGCCGATCACCGTCCCACACGATGTCCAAAGAAACAGATTCCGACTCCTCAAATATCATTTTGGGATGTCCAACCTTCCACTCAGAATACGCAGAAATCTGGTTCGTTCAATTCGAGAATATGCTCAAAATAATGAGCATCTCAAAACGAACGAACTGGTTTGTTCACTTGACGATAGCTGTGCCGAGTAACATCCCCAAACTAGTCTGGGACTTGATGATCATGTCGCCGAACAGCAACTCGTATGACAGGCTGGTGATAAAAAAGAAAATTGCATCAATTGACTTTGAATAAATGCCGATTGAATTCTGATTCTCTTGCTGTAAAGATCAAGTGCTTGATGGAAACGCAGATTATTTTCAAATTGCAGTTGATCAATGATTTTTCATTATGTGTACACCGGAATCTGCTAGCTCAGTTGGTAGAGCACGAGACTCTTCATCTCGTGGTCGTGGGTTCGGGCCTCATGTTGGTCGCCACCGGAGGCCGAATCAGCGTTTTCTCTAGAAAGAGAAGGTTAGCCGCGGAGACCACGTTGAATCACCTTGATGCCTCCAGCGAGACGTGCATCGTTTTGAAGCTCGACGCATTCCAGGTGGCAACTGGAGTAGCCTTGCAGCAGATGATTAAGGGCGAAACGCAGCTGCTCTCCTTTTACTCAAAAAATTTCCCAGCTACAGAGGTGCGCCACAGCAGTCAAGCACTTCTGGCAGGTATTGGAAGGACGCCGATCACCATTTTCACCGACCATGCCTTTCGAGCCACCGACTAGTATTCTCCCAGAAAAACCCGACATTCGGAATTCACTATTCACGTACGACACATCGACGGTATTAGCAACGTTATTGCCCGCATTGTCTCCTATGGAATCGAATTAAATCGCCATATCCGATCTCGATCTGCAAGTTATGGCTGACGAACAGAAGAAATCACATCCAATCCTTCGATACGTTTGAATTGTTTATCCCTATCAGACTGCGACACACTTGCCCATTGCAATGTTTCAACCGACAAGCCGAGACCATTCGTCATCGCACGCGCAAACGTCATGATTTAGAATGTGCGGCCGTACACGTAGAACACGGTTCACAGATATTCAGCTATTAATATTCACTTAAATCATGCTTGATTTATTTGATAACTATTCGCTTTAGCCGATATCATATTTTGCAATAAACCTGGTCTACGTAATACGTCTCTCTTTCCTCACTAGCTACACAATAGCTTAGCTAGTTGAGATATAGGAGATATAGGAGATTTCTGAGCCGGTCAAGGCATTACTAGCGTAGCAATCCGCTACAACCCCTCAAATTTGATTAGAAAAGATGGTCAATTAGAAATCATTTCTCAAACTCTCATCCAGACAAGAAGATATCGTCCTAGTGTCTAGGAGACTTTGGCACCAGAGTCTTTAACGCACTTATGCATTGATCGCTAGCCAACATGATGAATGTAATCAGACTAGAAACTAATTAAAAACATTGAAAGAAAATCGGAATATTCAAACTGCGGATAATGAAATGTGAAGAAATGAGTCGAATCCATTTAAATAAACATGAGTATCTGGGATCCAGGAGTCAGATCCATGGTTCATCACTACGTAATCTCCATCTCAAGATTTTAAATTGTGTTTCTCAACCGTGAATGCCAATGGAAATAATAAAATAAAGTAGTGAGCGCTTGTCTTTTTAGTTGTAAGAGAAATGGGTATTTGAAAATGATTCTGTATTCGAGAATTCCACATTATAGGTGCATTAGTGGAATAACCATCCATTGGCATGAAAATTAGTGCTACAGCCTTCAAAATTGTGTAAATAACTCAGCTCTTCCATATTGGAATTAAAAGTTCCCAAAACACCACGCAGAATCATTTCGCATTCTCAACCTTCTGGAAGAAAAATGAGCTGAAGTGACAAAATTGGTTCTTCCTTTTTCAAAAAGTCAATGAATTAGAGCGAAATATCGTAGACAAACATTTTCTGCACTTCGGGTGACAAATGCTGAAATTTGAAATTCGGAACGTGAGCTATCCACTTAGCAAATTTGCCAACCCGAATCCAAATACCAAATAATTCCTTTGAAGCTTCTCACAGGAGCTATTTGTTCCTTTTCTCATTAGTATTTATTAGATGTCCTGTTAGCCGATTTCAGTAGCTTCTCGTGGTTTGAAATTGTAACTCATTGTATTACTGTGGACAGTAATGAAGTTTCGGCTTTATTTGTTGGCTTTTTTAACTTTATCCTTGAGCAGGAAGCATTTTGAATCCTCCTCTACCCGAAGGAGAAGCATTCAAGAGCCTCCCTTGTGAGAAACTCTTATTTTAATATCTCGCATCAATTACCGCTAACTGTTTAATTGGCATCTGGCTCTTAACATTTGCCTTATCTCCACGTGGTACACCCTGGGCAACGAATACTCATACGGCAAAAAAGGTCTATTGATCGGCATTTGACTTCTGACTTCAAACTGCCATCGCCTCACTGTTTGTCATATTTGACCCCTTCACAGTACTCACCTCACCTTTTCTCTACCTTTGTGTTT